ATCCTTACTTTGCATCTTCCTACTTTTCCCTTTTGGAATAGGATGTTTATTATGCCATTGTATCTCAGAAGTATGTAATGTTCTTTTTGATTTTGCAGGAGCTTGCAGCTAAGAGATGGCCTTAAATCTCAGTGGAAATTTCAAACTTAGACCTTTGAATAATGTTGGAACTCATAAGATGTTGGGGATTCTTGGAGATGAACTAAAAAACACTTTGCATTATAAGATGTTCACGATGTCCAGAAGTGGCATGTTATGGTTTGAATAGAAAGTGACTCTAACAGGCTGTTTGAATCCTTGTTCACCTGATGCTGGTACTATTTGGGGACATTCTAGAAACATTACGAAGTAGCTCTTAACTACAGGAAAGAGGTTACAGGACTATCTCATTGAGGGTATCTTTTTCCCTGTCCCCTTCCTTTCCCTCTCTCTGCTTCCTGCCTACCATTAAGCAAACAACTCTCCTCCATTAAATTGACTAAACCATGGAGTGAACCCTCTTCAACTAAAAAACCAAAATAAATATTTTCTCCCTTTAAGTTGTTCTCTCGGGTATTTTATCATTGCAACATAAAAGTAACTAATACCATAAGCTCTGAATTCATTTAAAAATAAACCTTCCCTCAAAATAAATCCTGTAACACTTCTTCCCCTCTTCTCCCTATTTGAAATTCTAATCCATTTCTAATAAAAAGTTACTGTACATTAAAATTAAGTTTATTATATGTTATTTTCCTAACTTTGTGTATAAGTAAGCCAGGCAATACTCAGGTCAAATATTTGTAACTCTCATCCTCAACTGTTATTGGAAACAGACCATCACACAATGGTATTTCTTGGGTATGTTTTGAGGAGAACTTTATTGTAATCTATTATTTACTTATAGCGCAATGAGCAATTATTTTTGTTTTATTTTATTTTATTCTTATGGTATCTATAAGCAATAAGCGACCTACCATTCTTGCATGTTTTTAAGATACTTTTGGTTAAGAAAATAAGTTTCTTCACTTTAAAGCAAGTGAAAACCAGATAAAATAATTCTACTTTCCCTCCTCCTTTCAATGTGAGGGAAGGCCATTGGACATTGCCCCTACACACACAAAGCAGAAATACAAACTTCACAGCTCTTTTTGTCCTTGGCTTATATTCTTCCCCTCCAACTGCCATGGAATTCTAATGAGGGGATTTTTAACCTTAGCTCTGAATAACATTAAGCAATCAAGCCTGCTGTCTTATCAGAGAACCAACTTTTATTAAAGTTCAAGAAAATATTATCTTTTTAATAGAAAAAGGGAAGAACCATGCTAATCCATTAAATGTGAAGGTCAGCAGCTTTCTTAGATTTTATTAATAAAACTATGGTACAAAATATTGATGACAAAGAATTTACTAAGGCTATTAGCAGCTAATCGCTCATAAAAAAGACTTAATTTTGCAAACTCTTATGCAATTGGATAATATTTTACATCATGGATCAATATCACACAAACTGTAACTTGGGCAACTAAATCAGTATTTCAGCACTAATGACCATTTATTTTGAACAATAATAATTATAACCATGTCGTGGTTACTTCCCAGCACCTTTCTAATATTTCTTTGAATCTTCACTATAATATTATAAGGTAAGTATTATTATTAATTATTATTTTCTAGGTGAGAATATTGAAGCATTGGGCACCACCTTAAGTCACTCTGGCTACAAAATCTGCACTCTTTCTAGGATTCTCCTCTGTTTAAGCATAGAAACTCTTATGTCCTTGGGAAGATTCAACAATGAGCCTATCTATGAATTCTAATTTTAAGGAACCAGGAACAGGCTGGCTGTGCTATGCACATCAAAAGAGCAATGCCAAGGCCAAAGGGTTTAAGTGTGAAGCAGGAAAATCTGAGCCCTCTCAGGTTCCTATTGCCAGGAGACAAAAATGGTTTCCAAAAACAGCAGAAAGCATCAAATTGACAAATGCACAACACACCCAAGTAGAAATTCAACCAGTACTCATATTTCACCAAAGCTAATCCCTCTTACGGACTTTAGGAAAATATAGAAGATAACAGAGAAACTCCCCAAGGTAAGCCCTATCGAAATGCAAGCCAGAAATTCCCCACGACCTATAAAGTTCCCATATGCTGTTTCTTATGAAACACTGGCTTGTCAGCAATAGGCCAGTACATTCTGCTATTTCTAGTGAAGATTGATATGTAGCCATTAAAATTCTGGTTTTAGCTAATCATAAATAAATCATGACTACAGCCATCTGAATATGTCTTCTGACACACTGCTCTGAAATTGCTTTTGAGGATATTACCAGTGACCTCAGATTGCTAAATCTTTGGCCCTCACCTCTCTGGACCTCTCAGCAGCACTTGACATAGCTGTCCACTCCATCCTCGCTGAAGCAGGTTTTTCTGGCTGTTTGGTACCACAGTCCTCTATATATCTCTTGTACTCACATTCTCAGACATTCAATCTTTCATTTTCAGAGCACAGGCTTAGGCTCTCTTCATCTCTCTATAGTCACTCTTCTATTAGGCTATGTCACTTACTCCTGTTATTGTTCAAATGTGTCCTCTCCAAAATTCAGGTGATGGTATTGTGAGAGCTCTCCCTACATAAATGGAATTAAGGCCCTATTAAAAGAAGCTGTATGCAATACCACTCTTGGGATATATCCAAAAGAATGTGACACAGGTTACTCCAGAGGCACCTGCACACCCATGTTTATTGCGGCACTATTCACAATA